GAAATCTAAGACATAGCTCTATTGATTAGGACAAATCCCAGTTCCTACAAAGTAGAGGAGAGTCCTCTACAACAACGTCTGCCGCTAAGGCACGGAAAGCAAAGACAATAAGTAAGTTTATGCAGAGGCTAGGGTAGAAGCAGCAGGTGCACTGGAAAGTGGCCTCCTCCTCCTACGATCTGCAAATGAGTTTCGTGTTGTCGTCGCTGTGTCCTGGATTGCTGCGTTGCGTAGGGTTCCTTGCGTCGCTCGCATCTGATGGGTCGTGTAAAGTCGGCGACTATCTAGCCTAGGAGCAGTGTCGCTCTTTCTTCACGGGAAGGCATCATGCAAGGCGTTTCATTCAGTGGTGCTACCAGCACATCTACCTCACCACTTGTCCTTCCACGTCCCTCCCCCCATCCCTGCCATTCCCACTGCCAGTGAAGTACGTGAACAAGATGCATCCTGTTAAGATCAATGGAAAAGTGGTTGGGGACAAAGGGGCGTCTGCGAAACTTGTTGTGTCGGGGTTGAGGTGCGTCCTTTACAACTATATTTCGTTTTGCCTACTAAGCCCCTCTCACTCTCAGTAGTGTTAAGGCTGAGTTGTTTTGGGTCAATCTCGGACAGTTTTGCCACGATAAGAAAGAAGGATATGAAGGAAGAGGGTGGGTTGGTTGAGTTGGAGGTTAAGGGGCGAAGGAAACCTGCTGCTACCATGATTATATGTATTGGGGAAGCTTTTACCCCTCCCGCCCTCTCTTTTCCCCGCCTTTTCCTTTCCTGTCTACATTTCGCTTCCCCCCTTTTCCTCACACCACCTTCCCCTTTCCCTTTTCCCCTACCCTCTACAACGCACTGCTAGACCACTGGGTCAAAACGAAGGTAATATAAAGGCGCAGCGGATGCCCCCACCCCACCCCCTTCTCCCCAACATTCCCTTCCCCGTCCTTTCCCCCTCCCGCTCCACACAAGCGGCCCACCCCGTTCTCTTCCCTGTTCCCCTCTCTGCCATCTCCTTCCATGTCCTGTTGGCAGGTACTCAGCAACTTCGTACTATCTCAGGATTCAGTTAACCGTGCTCAACATCAGTTCTGGTGGAGTGGCGCCTACCATCGCCCTCGATAGCCCTTCCTGTTCTAAATCCTCTACAGATACTGACAACTATGTTTACGCCAACATCACGAGTGCCAAGTCCGGTCGTCGAAACCGCTACAGCTTCAAGTACTTGGTTAACCAAGGGCCGCAGACTGCGGAGGCTGATCTCCGTACTCTGATGACAGGATTGCTGTCTGTATATGGCAAATACCTTAGGCTGTTTCATGCCAAGAACCCTAATGCGCTATGCGGGAAGATGAAGAAGGTGAAGTAATGGTCATCTCACTTTGGCTACCTCTGGTTGGCTCCGAGGGTGCAAGTGTTCATGTCGACAGTGCACAAAGTGATGTGGATTTGCGTGGTTAGGCTGTCTTTGTCGCTTTGTAGATATGTTTGTACCTTGCAATGACAGGCTTCCATCAACCTGAATGTACCGGTACCTTGCAATGCAATGTATCATATCAGCCAATACCAAGAGTTTTGAAATACGGTAGTACCGTATTGAGATATTTGAGTATACCGTAACTGTTTTCATTATGTAAGGAAATTTCCCTCAAATATCTCATTACTACCGTATTTCAAAACTCTTGGTATTGGCTGACATGATACATTGCATTGCAAGGTACCGGTCAGGGCCTATGTTATCAGGATAATTTATAATGATTCTCCTGAATTCAGGATAGGTGTCGTGTGCTTCTCCTGGAAAAACAGCATAAGGGAATTACTTGTCCTGTAAAATCAGTATAATGGTTATTTTGCGTACTGGAAACTCAGGATAACGCTGTAGGTTCAGCCCTGACGACTCAGGATAGTGTCGAATCTCGCCCTGAAGCGAGATGTACTGTACGAAAAATCTCATGGGTTTAGGGGGCCTAAAGTATACACGGGCGAGCACCTCGAACATAGGAGCCAGCAGGAATTGAATAGGCTACCTATTGTATAACAGATTGTCGCTTTACCCGCTACCGCACTCCATGTAGGACAAGATGGAGGACAGACGTACAAGTCCCTTGCGCTACTTCGCTTTTGCCAGCCAATTTGGCCCATGATGTCCACCGCCACCTTCGCAATCTGCTTGTACTGTGCTGTAACAGTTTCGCACCATGCAGCTGCCAGCGACTTGCACTGCCAGCCACTTGCAGCTGCACCCCAACATTTCGAATGTGGAGAGAATTTCGATCCCCGCTAAGATAACACGCGCGAAATACACAGGATTGTACGAAATGTAGCACTGAGCTGCCAGGATACTGTCAAATGTAGCACTGGCATTTCAGGATACCTCACCCCATGCAGCCCTGACAATTCAGGGCAAATTCTGATTTCCTAAAAACTGCCCTGAGGCCTCAGTGTACCCCCAAACGAATCTGAGGGCCTGGTACCGGTTGTCAAATTGTATTTGTTTTGTAGGCTGTAATGGGGCATACCCTAAAGGGTACAACACTTTAGGGTTAGGGTTAGCTACACAATCCTGTACTGCCCATCATTCTAGTCATTCGTACGTTCCTATTCTGACATGGTATTCAGAGCGGGTCCATCCTCCGTAGGACCGCTCCGTTAGGGCCCACCACTATTTCCGACCTGCCCGAACTGCCCGTACTGCCCTGCCCGAACAGCGTTCCTCACGCTGCCCTGCCTGCGCGGCCCCACGTGCTCTGCCCTGCCCGTCGCGCTGCCCGCTTGCTGCCTAGCGTGCGACCCGCTTGCTGCCTAGCGTGCGACCCGCACGCTGCCCTGCTCGCGCTCTGCCCTGCCCTGCCCTGCAGCCCGCTCGTCGCTCTGCCCTGCAGCCCGTGCACCGCCCTGCCCTGCAGCCCGTGCGTCACCCTGCCCTGCAGCTAGCGCGCCGCCCTGCCCTGCAGCCCGCGCGTCGCCCTGCCCTGCAGCTAGCACGCTGCCCTGCCCATGCAGCTAGCGTGCCGCCCTGTCCTGCAGCCCGCGCGTCGCCCTGCCCTGCAGCCCGCGCGTCGCCCTGCCCTGCGGCTTGCGCGCCGCCCTGCCCTGCAGCCCACGCGTCGCCCTGCCCTGCAGCTAGCACGCCGCCCTGCCCTGCAGCCCGCGCGTCGCCCTGCCCTGCAGCTTGCTTCAGCTGCCAGCACGCTGCTCTAGTTGTTAAAGTTATATTTAATATATCCTGCTTGCTGTAGTTACTATAGTGTAGTTATCTGATTGTTTGCTTGGTGGTGCACTTGTTTGTTTGCTATATGTACCTTTGGTCCTATAGTGAACCCAACCATTCTCTCTCTCGCTTGGCACAAACTCTCTCGACTCCCGCTTGGCCTAGGCTACTAAGCCTAGGCCTACTAGCTACACCCGTCGCCTAGATTACGTTCGTTTGTTGACATGGTATCAGAGCGATTAAAATCCTGACCTAAGTTAATGGGCCCACCCATTCGCGGCACGGCGCTCGCTGCGACGGGCGCGGCGGCGAGCTGGCCGCGTTTCCCTCGTTGCCAGCCCGTCGTTTTCTCCCTCGTCGCCTGCCCGTCGCCAGCCCGTCGCGTTTTTCCCCGTCGCCAGCCCGTCGCGTTTCCCCCGTCGCCAGCCTGTCGCGTTTCCCTCGTCGTCAGCCCGTCGCTTTCCCCCCCCGTCACCACCTCTGCCCGCGCCTACGCCTGCCGCCGAGTTTGCGCGATAATGGGGAAAGGGGGGGGGGGGGGGGGGCGGCATCGGGAATGAAGGGGACGGCGTCCGTGGCGGTCGTCGCGGCCCTTCCCCCCCCGTCCCGTTTTCTTCCCTCCCGTCGCCTCGCTCCGCCCGTCGCACTCCCCCGGCCCCCTGCCCGTCACCCACCCCGTCGCGATTGTTCGCGTGTGCAGCGGCGGTCGCTGTGGGTGGGCGAGGGAGGAGGGGAAGGGATTGGCGGCGGAACTCTGTGGGGGGGAGTGGGAAAGGGGGAAGGGAGTGGCGGCGGAATGCTGTGGGGGAGAGAGAGGAAAAGGGGGAAGGGAGTGGCGGCGGAACACCAGCGATCACCGCCAGCGCACCGGCGATCGCACCAGCTCTTGCGCGCCTCCTACCGTCAGATCCCGCCCAGCCTGTAGCCCGTCTGCAGCTCGTCCCACCCGTCGCGCCCCATCAGCACCAGGCACCAGCACCAGCGCAAGCCGCCAGCACCAGCACCGGCACCAGCGCCGTCATGCCAGCACCAGGCACCAGCACCAGCGCCAGCCGCCAGCACCAGGCACCAGTACCAGCGCCAGCCACCAGGCCCCGGCACCAGGCACCAGCACCAGGGCCAGCCGCCAGCACCAGCACCAGCTCCAGGGCCAGCCGCCAGCACCAGCACCAGCTCCAGGGCCAGCCGCCAGCACCAGCACCAGCTCCAGGGCCAGCCGCCAGCACCAGCACCAGCTCCAGGGCCAGCCGCCAGCACCAACACCAGCTCCAGGGCCAGCCGCCAGCACCAGCACCAGCTCCAGGGCCAGCCGCCAGCACCAGCTCCAGGGCCAGCCGCCAGCACCAGCACCAGCTCCAGGGCCAGCCGCCAGCACCAGCACCAGCTCCAGGGCCAGCCGCCAGCACCAGCACCAACACCAGGGCCAGCCGCCAGCACCAGCACCAGCTCCAGGGCCAGCCGCCAGCACCAGCACCAGCTACAGGGCCAGCCGCCAGCACCAGCACCAGCTCCAGGGCCAGCCGCCAGCACCAGCACCAGCTACAGGGCCAGCCGCCAGCACCAGCACCAGCTCCAGGGCCAGCCGCCAGCACCAGCACCAGCTCCAGGGCCAGCCGCCAGCACCAGCACCAGCTCCAGGGCCAGCCGCTAGCACCAGCACCAGCTCCAGGGCCAGCCGCCAGCACCAGCACCAGCTCCAGGGCCAGCCGCCAGCACCAGCACCAACTCCAGGGCCAGCCGCCAGCAGAGAACCCCGCCAGCAGAGAACCCCTCCAGCAGAGAACCCCGCCAGCAGAGAACCCCGTTAGCAGAGAACCCCGCCAGCAGAGAACCCCGCCAGCAGCGAACCCCGCCAGCAGAGAACCCCGCCAGCAGAGAACCCCGCCAGCAGAGAACCCCGCCAGCAGAGAACCCCGCCAGCAGAGAACCCCGCCAGCAGAGAACCCCGCCAGCAGAGAACCCCGCCAGCAGAGAACCCCGCCAGCAGAGAACCCCGCCAGCAGAGAACCCCGCCAGCAGAGAACCCCGCCAGCAGAGAACCCCGCCAGCAGAGAACCCCGCCAGCAGAGCACCACCCTCTGCCCTGCCTCTCCCCTCCCGCGGCTGCTACTGTGGGGGGTAGGTGGCGGGAGCGGGGGGGTGGGAGGGCTGGCTGCAGTGTGAAGGACAGTGCAGAGACAACTGTGGGTTGGGCAGGGGTGTGGAGGAAGGGAGGGAGGGAGGGGGTGCGGTTCCAGGGGGTGGCTGAAATGGGGGGTGAGGTTGAAGGAGGGTGGTTGATTGGGGGTGGGGATGTGGGGGTTGGTAAGAGGGGACGCTGCGGCTACCCCCCCACCTCCTCTCCTCATCCCCCACTCAACCCCCCTTTCGTAAAAGGGGGTTAGTAAGAGGGGACGCCGCGGCCACCCCCCCACCTCCTCTCCTCATCACTCACTCACCTCCTCCTGTGTTCTTATCTCCTCTTCTCTCCTCTCTCCCTCTCGCCGCCTCCCCCCACGTACCCCTCTGCCGTCTCCCACCGTGCCTGCTCTACCCCTTCAGGGGGTGTTGACTGCACTAGTTATTACTGCAAGCAGGCTAAGGGGGTGTGTTAAAGTTATATTTAATATATCTTGCTTGCTGTAGTTACTATAGTGTAGTTATCTGATTGTTTGCTTGGTGGTGCACCTATTTGTTTGCTATATGTACCTTTGGTCCTATAGTGAACCCAACCATTCTCTCTCTCGCTTGGCACAAACTCTCTCGACTCCCGCTTGGCCTAGGCTACTAAGCCTAGGCCTACTAGCTACACCCGTCGCCTAGATTACGTTCGTTTGTTGACACTAGTTTCCCACGCTCTGCCCTCGCCGCTACACTGCCCGTCATGGCAACGCCACCGGTCTTAGCGTTTTCCCCCGACGGACTCCCGTACCGGTTTGACTTCTGGCTTTATTGCCTGCGCTAGCATCTCCGGTGTTACATCAGAGATGGCGTCTCCCTACTCGAGTAGGGAGGGGGTCACTTCCGGCCCCCACGACTGCGGTGCTTCTTCCGCGACTGCACCACAGTCACACCGCTCACTGCACCTGTCCCGGTTAGTCTCGCTGACCCCTCTGGGGGCCCAGTCGTAGCACGTGCCTCTACCGTTCTCCCTTGTCCGGCAGCCCCCTCAGGATCCCTCACAGGTTTCCACCTCCCCTCGTTCACTAAAAACTTGGTGAGTAACGCTGTCCTCCAGGACCAGTTTGTCACTGTGACTACTCCTGCGGGTGAGCTTGTGGCGATCTGTATGGACTCACGCACTGGCGAGCACCTCGCCACTCTCACTCGGAGCCCTGGCTCTCGCCTGTACACACTGACCACTGCGTCCGCACAGGTAGCTGCGTCGGGTCAGGAAGCTGTGTCGGGTCAGTTCGCTGCGTCTTGTTCGTGCCGGCTACTCTCGCACCAGACCCTCCTCTGGAACCACCGTCTTGGTCACCCCTCTCTGCCACACTTGCGTGGCATGCACTCTCGTCTCCTTACCTCTGGCCTCCCCAGGTCCCTGCCCCTGCTCCCGCGCTCGATTGCACCGCCGTGCCTTTTCTGTGTCGAGGGGCGGCAGCGCGCCGCTCCTCACTCCTCCTCGTTTCCGCCCACCACTGCTCCTCTGCAGACTCTCCACATGGACGTGTGGGGCCCAGCCCGCGTCCGTGGACAGGACCAGGAGCGCTACTTTCTACTGGTTGTTGACGATTACACGCGATACACCACGGTCTTCCCCTTGCGGAGCAAGGCGGATGTCCGAGGTGTTTTGATCGACTGGATCATCGCTGTTCGTCGCCAGCTGAGCGCTCGGTTTGAGCAGGACCTCCAGGTCCTGCGAATGCACTCTGACAGAGGCGGTGAGTTTTCCTCCGTCGTCCTTCGGGACTTTTGTCGTGCGGAGGGCATCCGCCAGACGTTCACGCTTCCGGCCTCTCCACAGCAAAATGGGATTGCTGAGCGCCGCATTGGCTTAGTCATGGACGTTGCTCACACCTCCATGATCCATGCGGCTGCTCCCCATTTTCTGTGGCCGTTTGCAGTCTGATACACCGCGCATCAGCTTAACCTCTGGCCCTGTGTCTCTGTGCCAGAGACCTCGCCGACACTGCGTTGGACGGGGGAGGTTGGCGATGCGTCGTCGTTTCGGGTCTGGGGCGCGCTCTCCCTTGTTCGCGATACCACCGCGAGCAAGCTCTCTCCTCGTAATATCCGCTGCGTCTTCCTTGGCTTCCCCACTGATGCCCCGCCCTAGCAATTTTACCACCCTGTCTCGCACCGGGTCCTGTCCTCACAGGACGTCACTTTTGATGAGTCGGTCTGCTTCTACCATCTCCACTCGCACACGTCTTCCCCGCTCTCCCCGCCGACCCTCTTCCTAGTCACAGGTCCCCCCCGGTAGACCCCCTCCCCCCGCAGGGTCCTGCTCCCTCAGGTGTGTCTCAGGTCGACCCACCCCCCTTGGTTGAGCCTTTGGAGGTCTCCTCTGACACCTCTGGCCCAGCTGAGGGGGGTGACCCCGCGACTGACGACACGGCAACGACTCGCCGCTCCCCGCGCTTGGAGACCCCTCCTGGTTTTCCGCCTTGGCTGTCTTCGCCGCCTCCGCAGCCTGTTGCTGTGGGCTCTGGTGGTGCTGGGGGTGCGGACTCTAGGGGTGCTGAGTCTGGGGGTGCCGGTTCTGGGGGTGCTGAGTCTGGGGGTGCTGGTTCTGGGGGTGCTGACACTTGGGGTGCTAGAGCTGCTGGTGCTGGAGGTGCTGGAGCTGCTGGTGCTGGAGGTGCTGGTGCTGGAGGTGCTGGTGCTGGAGGTGCTGGAGCTGGAGGTGCTGGAGGTGCTGGGGCTGGAGGTGCTGGAGCTACAGGTGCTGGAGCTACAGGTGCTGGAGCTGCTGGTGCTGGAGGTACTGGAGCTACTGGTACTGGAGGTGCTAGAGCTGGAGGTGCTAGAGCTGGAGGTGCTAGAGCTGGAGGTACTGGAGGTGCTAGAGCTGTTGGTGGTAGAGGTGCTGGAGGTGCTGGAGGTGCTGGAAGTGCTGGAGTTGCTTTTGCTGGAGGTGCTGGAGGTGCTGGAGCTACTGGTGCTAGAGGTCCTGGAGGTATTGGAGCTGCTGGTGCTAGAGGTACTGGAGCTACTGGTGCTAGAACTGGAGGTACTGGAGGTGCTAGAGCTGCTGGTGCTGGAGGTGCTAGAGCTGCTAGTGCTGGAGGTACTAGAGCTGAAGGTGCTGGAGGTGCTGGAGGTGCTGGTGCTGGAGGTGCTGGAGCTGGAGGTGCCGGTTCAGGGGGTGCTGACATTGGAGGTGCTGGAGCTGCTGGTGCTGGAGGTGCTGGAGCTGCTGGTGCTGGAGGTGCTGGAGCTGGAGGTACTGGGGGTGCTGGAGCTGGAGGTACTGGGGCTGCTGACGGTACGGGTACTGTGACGCGCAGACTGTTTTTATACCTGCAGCCACAGTCGTCCCTGCCACTGCCTGACTCGGTCTTTCACCAGGTTCTCAGTCTCCCGTCTTCCACTGGCCTCACTCCTCCTCTTCTGTGTCCACCGACAGACCAGTCTCAGCCACAGCTACTGCCTGGCTCCCCGCTGCCTGCTCCTGCTCCTCACACTGAGGTGACTGCGTCACTGACTGCGCGTCGTGAGCCTGAGACTCCTGCTTCGACACCTACTCGTGCCCGTCGTGTCCCACGCCCTCGTCCTCCTGCTGTCCCAGGCACTCACGTTTTGGCACTTCGTCCTTTCTTTGTTCCACAACGTTTTGCCGTGCCGTCTCCTCCTGCGTCCTCTCTTCCTGACGTTCCTAACCCTGAGTTAGACCTTGCTCGTGCTGCCAGTCCTACTGTCACTCGTCTCCTCGCTACTGTCGTCACTGATCCTTCCTTTGAGTCTACTGCTGCGTTTGCCCTAGTCGCTGAGCTAGTCGACTTTGCTGCTCGGAGTCATCTCGACTACGTCGCGAGCATTGTTACTGAGTCTGAGTCTGTCTGTCCTCCGTCCGTCGAAGGTAAGCCTGCCCTTGGTTGTGACGTCCTTGAGGACAGGCGATTTGAGCTTGAGTGTCTCTCGGCCGCTTTACCTCGTTTCGCGTCCATGCTGCTTTGCCCTGAGGGAGACCCGGATGCACTTGACATCCCCACCCCTCGCTCTTACGCAAAGGCGATCACGCGTGAGTACTCCTCTCAGTGGCAGACAGCCATGGATGCACAGATGGCTTTCTGGAAGTCCACAGGCACCTACGTCGACGAGGTTCCCCCTCCTGGGGCAAACATAGTCGATGGCATGTGGATTTTCAGAGTGAAGCGGCCGTCGGGTTCTCCGCCTGCCTTCAAGGCGCGTTACGTTGCTCGAGGTTTCAGTCAGCGACAGGGGGTCGACTACTTCCAGACCTTCTCCCCCACCCCGAAGATGACTACTCTTCGGGTGTTGCTGTACATTGCAGCACAACGTGACTAGCTGCACTCCCTCGACTTCTCCACAGCTTTCTTGCACGGCAGCCTTCACGAGGAGATCTGGCTGCACCGCCCACCTGGCTTCACTGGGTCGTTTCCAGAGGGTACCCAGTGGAGTCTCCAGCAGCCAGTCTACGGCCTCCGCCAGGCGCCCCGCGTGTTGCACGACACACTGAGGACGACACTTGCGGCTCTTGGGTTTGCTCCTTTCACTGCTGACCCGTTGCTGCCGTTCTACATCCTCATGTATGTCGACGACTTGGTCTTTGCTACTTCCGACACTGAGGCGCTGACCCTTGTGAAGGCGGAACTGCAGAAGAGACACACTTGCACTGACCTGGGTGAGCTGCATAGCTATCTTGGCTTGTAGATCACCTGGGACAGAGCACGGTGCACCATCACTCTGACTCAGTCACACATGGTGCACCAGGTCCTTCAGCGCTTCCGCTTTCGGCTCTCCTCGCCACAACCCACTCCTCTGGCTACCGGCCACTCGCTCTCAGCTCCACCTTCGGACGAGTCCGTAGAGCCGAGTGGCCCGTACCCAGAGCTTGTGGGCTGCCTCATGTACCTGATGACGTGCACTCGACCTGACCTCGTGTACCCTCTCAGCATCCTTGCTCGCTTCGTCGCACCCGGGCGACACAGGAAGGAGCACTGGACAGCTGTGCAGAGGGTACTGCGTTACTTGTGCAGTACATCAGGCATGGGGCTTGTCCTTGGAGGAAGGGGTCCAGTGGTACTCACAGGACACTCCGACGCTTCTTGGGCTGACAACCAGGCGACTCAGTGGTCATCCCAGGGGTAATCTTTCAGTCTCGGCTCTGGTTCTGTCTCGTGGAGGTCCACTCGTTCGCCTTCTGTGCTTGGTTCCAGCTGTGAGGCCGATATCTACGCTGGGGCCATGGCTGCACAGGAGTTACGCTGGCTGACCTACCTGCTGACCGACTTGGGTGAGCGGCCTCGTTCTCCTCCAGTTCTGTACGTTGACAACAAGGCCATGATTGCCTTGTGTAGACTGGAGCACAGAACGAAGCACATTGCTCTTTGTTACTTTCTTGCTCGGGAGCTGCAGCAGCGTGGTCAGCTGCGCCTTGCTTACGTGGCCTCTCGGGCCAACACTGCTGATGTCTTCACCAAGGTCCTTGGGTCTGGTGATCATCAGCGTTTCTGCACTGCTCTAGGCCTTGTGCCTACTCTGCCTGTCATTCAGGTTGATGGAAGCCTGTCATTGCAAGGTACAAACACATTTACAAAGCAGGGCTTTTGCTAGGATTTGAGCCCGTCTAGCGTTTTGGCGAAAAAAAATTGCTCGTCTGAAAAATCAGACGAAAATTCCATGCGAGTCTGATTCTTCAGACGAAAATATATTGCAAGTCTGATTTGTCGCACGAGATCGCAAGTTGCGCTAGGTAT